TGTGATAGACGGACACATGTTGGGCATCGTGTTCTAGAAGCATGGGTTAAATTGGGGGGATATTTTGGTAAAAAAAAAAGGTTAAATTTTTACTTGGGGGTAGCTACAAAGAAAAATAGTGTTGGAGTTAATAATATAATATCAAAAATATTACAGGAGGAGGATGTTTAGAAAATACATATTGGCATTATCCATAATTTACCCATTTTTCTTAATAATATAATATGGAGAAAAGAAAGACCAACACTTATTGCCTCCCAAATTTCCTAACTTTTGGGATTCCTAGCCTCATCATTTCAACTTGGACTCAATTGACCTACCTAATCCATATAGGACTTCATCCAAAATATACTCTCATGGCATGGTAAGTTGATTAAGGACACGGTTAGCATGCGGGCAAACCCACACATGCAAAAATGCGGGGCCCTTAATAAATTTATTTTTGAGATGGATTTTTTAACTTAATTTTTAAAGACATGTAATCTCTAACATAGAGATCATGAACATGAAAAATAAATAAATTTAAAAAACTAGAAATAATAATTCAATTAAGAAAACATTTGGACTGTTTGTTTTAATTGTTTTTAGATGGGCCATATATTTGCATCCATCTTTAAGATGGATGCTTTATACTTCTGGACCGCATATGTAGAAATGCGGTCCAGTCTACATAAAACAAATTTTTTTTATTAATAGAATCCCCAAATAATAGTAAATGCCGTTACAACTAGGAGACTCAAATAAAAAGAAATATTCATATAACTTACGATTAATACAACACTACATGAGATTGAACAATTCAATATTTTTCCTATATATTTTGTTTTAACTTCAAAGTACCCATAAAAGCCACATGGTCTTGAGTGGAATAGTTACGAAAGGGTAACACGTTAAGGAAATATAAAAAATGAGACCTTTCGATACAAGGAGGTCACAAGGGTTATTGACTATTGGATATGAAATCAGATGGTTGCGTATGTATCATTTATTAGGCATAAAATTTTTCAAATGTTGTGAGACATTTTAACTATCGTATTTCATATCCAATGACTAAAAATGATTATGATCTCTTTATACCAAAAGTAAATAGTATACAATCCCAAATATTAAATAGTTACTCTTGTGAGCATTTTTTTAAAAATTACTTTTATATTTTTTTATAGATGTGCTCCATTGATGTGAATCCGCTCTTAAATTTTCGTCTGATTTGATTTAAAAGAGAGAGAATAATGAAAATTGACGCGTTTCCCATAAGAAATTTGCCATTTTCATTTAATGACAATTTTGCGCTTCTATGAGGTATGAACTTCTCATTTTTGAGAAGCTCACACTTCTAGGCGGGTGCAACTCTTAGCTATCAAACTAGGAATATGAACTATTTTAGTACCCTAAAAGTTCCTACTCCGATGCTTGAACTTCCAGTTTGCTAAAAACACAATTAGCTAATTACATTATATAGGTGTTTATAATAGATTAGGGGTTTATTAACATCACTATCGATGGTGAATCATATATTTCACCAAAAAGATTTGGACATTGACAACTAAACTATGGTGATATACGCATCTAAGGTGAAGTTGATGGGGTAGCAAATTCAAGTACTGAGTCATTCTTATGTTGCTTTCATTTACTGTTCAAGTTCGCTTTACCCCAAACTTTTGATGTTAGGTCGTGTTTTTTCAAGGTCATCTTTTGTACATGTATCTTCTCAATTCTAAGCAAAGTTTTAGAAGCTAGATCAGTCGGCAAACTGGCCATTTATAAATCTAGTCGAGATTGGCGAATAACCCATTTGGACCGATGATCCCATGTGAGAATCGATCAATAAAAATAAAAATAAAAAAAGGAAAAATATTATGATATGTGGAAACCATGCGTTTGTCTAGTTCGGATTGCCCAGTTCCTTAACAAACTTGCTCAGTTCCTCGACAAAAATGCCATGGGTATTTGGGATCATTTTCCAATTTTTAATTTATGAACCAACTAAATTAACCACCTTTATGTATCCCTAATTTCCACATATATAATATATGTGTCTATAAATATTCAATCATCAATTTGATTAGATCGCTAGGAATAAACTAATAATAATATCATGTATTAATTATGGCTTGACAAATATCAGCTTGTTCCTAATCATTTAATTAATATTGGATAATTGTAAGTCTTCAAACACATATATAAATTAACAAAATCTCACTTAACTAAAATATCCCCTGCACCAGATTTTAGATAAATAGGAAGGGTAATCCTTGTTCATAACATGAGAGCATGACATGAGAGTGGAGACGAGAATAGTGGGGTGAATATTAAAAGCTGACGATCAAGTACACACTTTTCTAGGTCATGTGCTAATTCTACAATCAAGGAGGAGGATGTCACAATATTACCGCAAGGAAAAATATTTTTAAAAAATTCTTTTTGATGTTAGAAAAATACGGACAATGCAAATCGGATTCGGCCGGCCTTGCTTTATGAACAAGGCGAGTATTGGCCGAGTAGGTTGTATAGTTGAGGATTGATGTCTTGTATTATGAGGAAATAGATCTATCAAGGTAGAGTCAAAAGGACGACTCTAGAGGGCCGAAAGGCTGATCTGACGAACACAGATGTCTGGTAGTGTTTGAATTTTATTTATTTTTATACAAATTCAAATCACTTGAAATTTTAGGCGTGTGTTCTTTTCATCAAGCCGCACCTAATAAAAATATAAAAAAAACAATTCGTGATTTTTTTTGACCAAAATGCCCCCAAGACATTTTGGAGGTATTTTGGTCAATTTATTTCATGTAAAATATTTTTTTGATATTTTTCGAAGATTCACATATTTTTTATGTACATATAGTCCAAATTTCAAGTGATTTAGATTTGTATAAAATAAATAAAAATTCAAATACTACCAGACATCCGTGAATCTTGACCGTTGAGCTCATTTTTTCTTGTGAACCATACGAGCAGAGACCATATCTTTGAGCTTTCTAGGCAAAACAGAACAAATCATTGCCATGAAGTTTGAATGGGAGAAAATTGATTATCTTTTATGATTGAGGTGAATTGTAGTTATGATTGTGATTGGGGTAATTGTGAAATATTTAAAGGTTTATTGCTTCTAAAGTTTATATAACTCTTTCATATGACTGAACTATCCAAAAAAGAATGTCAATGTTGCTCACCATTATAATGTCAATGCTGCTCACTATTATACAGTTTATAGTATGTTATCAGTTGAAAACTCGCCCTTCATATAGCTGTATTGGACTTATTTTCCTCACGAATGAATACATCGTTATCGATAGTAACAAAGCTTTAGATGTTTGATGCTCTCTTTTGGTCTTTTCTAATGATGTTTGACAAACACATAATAATAATAATATGGTTATTCTGTCTGTGTGTGTGTAGACTACAGAGTAAGGCCTGTTATGTAACTGATTAAAGAGTATTTTGTCTGTGTGTGTAGACTACATCGTTATTTTGTCTTTGTGTGTAGACTACAGTGTAAGACTTGTTATGTAACTAGAACTTCCTTATATTCCAGCAGATTATGAAAGACCAATAACTTCTTTAACATTCCAGTAAGTCATCAAACGCTGAAACCCATAACTTCTTTAACATTCCAGCAGGTTATCAAACACGGAAATCCAGAACATCTTACAGTAACTTCTTTCTTCTCAGCAAAGAAGAACTTCCAATTTCCAGGGAACATTTACCTTCCAGTTATCAAACATGCCCTAGAGAGAGCAGACGAGAGGGGGTGAACTTCTTGTGAAGAAAATCAGATGGGTGCGTCTAAATCAGATCGTGCTGTATTTTTTAAGCTGATGGGTTGAATCAGGTTTAGGGAAAAGCCCTTTGTATGTTTTTCCTTAATTTATTTTCCCCTAATATGTTCTTTGAGCAATGTTAATTTCGGGATTTTTGAGTTATGTTAAATTTGGGGATTTTTGAGCTACTTTTAAATCTGTGATTTGAAAGTTCTCTATCAGATGGTCCTCTGTTTTCCCTAATCTATTTTTCGCTAATTTGTTTGAGATGTTGTTAAATTTAGGGATTTTTGAAAGCTAATGTCAAATCTATATTTCAATATAAACAGTGGTTCTCTTTTCTCTAAAGCATGTATTATAAACATTGGTTCTCTTTTTCTCTCTTTCTCTCTCTATACCCATCGATCTCTATACCCATCAAGCATTTGTGATGTAGTTCAATTTGGGGATTTTTGAAACTTCTCTATCTCTGTTTTTTCCTATTTTCTTTGAGATGGTTGTGTGTGTGTGTGTGTACCCATTGATGAGATGGTTCTCTATCACATGGTTCCCTCTCTGTGTACCCATGGAGTATTATTAATAGAAATGATTTTTTGAAACGACTTATTATAAAAATTAAAAAATCGCATATTAAACTTCTTCATGAAAACAATGCGATTTTTTGATGCTCTTTTGAAAAATACACAGTTTAAAAGATTTTTTAAAAAAACTCCAATTTTTTCAAAAAATCGTGTTTAAAACGTCGATTTGCTAACTATGGTTGGAACCAGTAACTACAGTCTGAAGACGGCTACTTTTTTTTTCTAAAAATGGAGATTGGTAATACTTTAAAACTCTATTATTCCAAATCCTTCCCCTCCTATTTCCAACTTCTCTGTGTTGAAATTTGAGAAATTATTAGGGTTAACAATGACTGCAGCTTTTGCATCAAACAAGCTCCTGAGTTTGGGAACAAAGATAGTGGCAGTAGGAAGGAATTACGCAGCTCATGCCAAAGAGCTTGGCAACGCTGTGCCAAAGGTCGCCTCTATTTTCTCTTCCCATTCATCAAAATCTCATCTTTTTGCCACGGTTCCATACTTCTTTTAGAGAAATGTATATTCTATTTATTAGCTGATGTTCTCCATTCTAATTCATTTGGCTTTTCGAATGCGATTTTCTTTTTCAATCAGATCTTGCTTACTGATCAAGTGTGATGATTTGCGTCCTCTTGATTATGTGATTATTTGTGTACCAATGTATGTCCCAGTTAAATGTGAAATTGGACAGGCGTAAGTCTCTACAATGGCCCTATAGGTTTGTTGCACATTAGACCAGGGAGTGATTTATTGAGAAAATTTCGATATTTAATTGAATAGACGTACAAATGACTTGTGATCTTTCATGAAATAATTTCATTGCAAAATGCCAAATGAAATAAACATGCTCTCTTTTGTAGTTGAAATTTTGTATTTCCACTGTCATCATTGGAGCAGTTGGGAAAAAAAAAGGAGTCATTGACAGGAGGGCTATTGTCATTGGATGTCTAAATATCTTAGGAAAGGCAGTCTATGGAATGTGGATCTAGGTTCCTGGTTCTTCTTCTTTTCTTCTTTAAATTATTAATTGATATTATATTGGATGTGGTACATGGATGGCAGAGTGTTTTGCTCAGTGATTAAAAACATGGGCTTGAGCTTGGACATACTAGGGCCCGAAGTGGCAGAGCCCCGAGTCTGATTTGGCCACATCACCCTAGTACTCGGCCAATCCTCTATGAAAAGAACATAGTAGGGTAGGGTCCAGGAACAGATAAGTCTCAAGCGAGTCCTAGGGTTTTTGAACCGGAACAGGTACCCTGCAGGTCCGAGTGACTCACATGAGTCCAAGGCCGAGTCAGCTTAGATTAACCATTGATTTGGATGTTAAATGAACCATATGCATAACTATTGACTAGCTAGCTTTTTTCTTGGAGATTAGGATTGTTGTTGATGATAATGAATGACATAATCTTTCCCTTCTGATCATTATAGGATTGCCTGAGTAATCCACATAGGTTACACCTCTAGCAGAAGGTCAGATATTTTCTTGCAGTACGTGAGGAGCTCTTAGAGGCGGTCTTTTTCCTAATCAATGTGGAGTATAGGGCACTGAGTGCCATTTTGATTATGTACTTGGTTGATGATAGAACTAGTCAGCAATTTGAAGTGGAGAAATGATTATACACTTGACAGGCAATGCAATAAGATTTTTGTTTATTTGAATTTAGTTTTAATTTTTTGCAAGTTTGAAGTGATATGTGCTGCATGATAATTTCATCTTGATGTGGCTCTCACTCATTCGGAGACTAGAGCTCTTATTCCATATTGGAAGTGCAAAGTAGAAGACCTCCCTACTAGCTACATAGGCATGCCTTTGGGCATTCGAAAACCTAAAAAGAGGCAGTGGTCTTATGTTATAGACAGAGTCGACCACCACTTAGCAAGATGGAAAGGCAGGTCCTTGTCTTACACAGGAAGAACAACTCTCATAAAGGTGACCTTGTCCAACACCTAGGTGTATCTTATGTCCCTATCCCATATATCTGCTGCGGTCGCAAGTCGCTTGGAACAACTAATGAGGAACTTTCTTTAGTTAGGTGAGGCTGAATCGAAAATATTTCACATCATAGCTTGGGAGAGAGTTTGCCAACCGAAGCACTTGAGTGGACTAGGGATCTGGATCTTGAGAAAGCAGAACACGACACTGCTCGGTGAATGGTGGCGGCGTCTTGCGAACCATAATAACTTGCTATGGTCTCAAGTAATCTGTTGCAAATACAGAATCCCCCCAATGCCTGGATGCTGGAGGGTAGATCTCCGACCAGGACTTCTGGGGCTTCGAAATCCTTCCTATCTGCCCTATCACTTTTCCAGCGAAAGGTCATAGAATCCGCTTTTGGTTAGATCTTTGGATGCGCTCAGGGATAGGTTCCCTTCTCTGTTCTCTTTAGCCACCAACATTTCCTCCTCCAGTGCCGAAGAGCTCCTTGTTTCAGGTAGTCCTAGGTGCTAGAACCCCTTTTTCAGGAGCTCCCTTTCGGGCGCTGAAATCCTTGAATTCATTTCACTGTCATCCTTATTGCAGGCTACCTTCCTTGACCACTCAGGGCCTGATAGCCTTGTTTGGATTCCCTCACCCTCGGGTCTTTTTTTGGTAGGATCATTTTATAAAAGATTGCTGCAACCTCCCACCTTCCCTCACTCTTCGACCTCTGTGGTATCCAAAGTGTGGTCCTCGATTGCCCCACCAAAAGTGCAAGCCTTCAATTTGATTGTGGGCTCCGAAAAAGCTCTTACTATCGTCCAGCTCCAATGGAGGGGTATCCCAATCCCCAACCGTTGTGTTATGTGCCTTTGTGAAGAACAGAGCAATCCTCACCTTTTCATCCACTGCAACTTTGCACTCACCTTGTAGACCAAACTCCTGTGCCTGTTCGGACCGATCTGGGTTACACCTGCCTCCATACCAGCTCTCCTTAAACTATCTGTAGACCCTCCTTGGCTTAAGGCGAATAGACTATTGTGGATGGCCTCCATTGTGACAACGATCTGGGTAATCTGGACCGAAAGGAACTCAAGGATTTTTTGAGGAGTCCAGTGCGAAGCCTCGCTCTCTTTAACAAAATTACGACCCTGGTCATTTTTGGACCTCAAACCACAAGGCTTTCAAAGGAATTTCGGCTACGGCTTTACTACATAATTGGGAACAAGTCCTTCATTTCTAACTCTGTCGGTCTGCATGAGCTGACAACTGGTCTCCTCCCCCGGCAGGTCTCACAACTCAATTTCGATGGGTGTTCCCTTGGGAGTCCCAAACGGGGGAGAATTGGTGGGGTTTTCAGAGACCACCACGGAAACATCCTGGCCTTTTTTTCCGAGTATGTTGGCCATGCTGATTCCCAGCTGGCTGAATCCATGGTGCTCCTCTCGAGACTCAAAATGCTAGACCCCTGGTGGGGACTACCTTTGATAATGGAAGGAGACGCCCAAAACATCATTACTAGGGCTGCTGGTCATGCCCCAACCCCCTGGTACCTTGCTTCGATTTATGACAAGTTTTCACACATTTGTAGGGATACAACCATCTCATGGATGCATATTTGGAGGGAATCAAATGCCCTGGAAGACCAACTGGCTAGGGGGGGAGCACTTACACAGGTTGCGGATCCTTAAGGGCACGGGACTCACGTTTAGAAGATCATTTACCGTCTTTTTGTACGTCTGTGGTTTCTTGGTCCTCCCGTTCAAGGACTTTTACACCGGTTGGATCCTTGGTATCTTGTAATGGGCAAATGTTATAAGCCCCCCTCATTTTTTGTATAGGGCTACCCGACCAGGGATAGCCTTTTTTTTGGCAAGAGGCTTGGGCTGTGGGCCCTCTCATTAGATCCTTGTACTCTTTTCCTTCGTTTAATCCAACAGTTAACAATGTCAAAAAAAAAAAAAAAATTTGGGCAAAAAAAGAAAAAAATCATCTTGGTGCAAGAGAGGTAGAGATGGTACCAACCAACATAGATGGGCAGATGGTGTGTATATTCAAGAAGGGTCATGGGAGAAATAAATTTGAATTATAGGGGACATCACTTGATGAAAACTTACTTCTGAGGAACATTTAGAATCGAAGTAAATTTAGTTTCTCCTTTTGGTTTTCGTTTGAATAAATGTGTGAAACTGTGATTTTCTTGAATAATTTGTCAAAGTTGGCTTCAAATGTATGGGTGACATAGTCTTTGTTAAGGTTGAAGTGCAAGTATTTGGAAGTGCCAGAAATGTGTGACAAGTGAGCTATGAATACTAGATATGGGAGATAACTAAAGGCTGCATTAAGCTGTGTTATGTGGAGTAGTTTCTAACTTGCTATCCATGGTGGATGGTACTGAAACTATTACACTTTGCAGGTGGGAATTGAGATATGTTGGCTAAACTGCAGATGAGTTTGTAGTCAGGGTTTTGTTAAAATGATGCCTGAAGATATTTGATTGAATTAGTGGTAATGAGCATTGGAAGACTCATGACATCAGGCCAGTTATCTACATAAAAAAAATAAAAAAAGGAGTCATGCTAATAGGGGATGTAAACTAAGAATACAAAAGACAAAAGTACTGCCAAGGAGATTGTTTTAGTTGGTCCTTCACAAGAGCATAATCTCCATAATTTAACTGCACAGGTAACGTCTTGCATAGGTAGTTGAGATGCCTAACATTGGTGTTGAATACACTGTTCCTCTCCTACTACTATTTCCTCTTGCCTCAGGACCTTTTTGGATAGGAGAGATACTCCCTGAGTAATCTCTTTGAGAGAAACCACGATTTTACTCCTAATAACTTTCCCCAACACCTGCATTTCCAATCACCTATCATGCTTAGACGCATACTCAAGCAAAGGAAACTGAGATATGACTCAATATCTTCCAAACTCTAGTACATTGAGTATAGGTATTCTATTTGATACATTGAAACCATGGCATACCACATACCATATGGTAATACCACGATAAATATCAATTAGGAAACTAAAACATATGAGAATCTAACTTAGAAAAGGATTAGTGATAAACTTACACTCAATGGTTGGGACATTGAATGGGTAAATCATGTAACCTAAGATTAGCCAATCACTAATCTTTGATTACAGCACCCTAAAAGCGCTTGGAGAACTCTTTGAAATCCAAATGATATGAAACATCCACAATTTCAGAAGGTAATCATCCACAACTAAATAAACAAGCGTGTACAATTCAATATACAACTTAGGAGTTTGCTTTAGTGACTTGGAGAGGGGATCTCAAATCTGTATCGGATTGAAGTTTGTCCATGAACAAATTTGCTGTAAAACTGATTCCGATGAAATTTAAAGTTACCTATAGCCCAGTTGGAAAAGAGGTGTAGAATAATGTTAAATTAATTCCTGAGAGTCTCCACAACTAGTTTTAGGGTTTTGAAGTTAATGGTATGTAAAGAAATTGGGGTTTTGACTTCAGATGTAAAATTAGGATTGAGGTTTCAAGAGATCTTATTTAGGATTAATTCTAGGAATGATCTATTGGTTTAGGAATGATCTATTGGTTTACTTTTAAAGTTTTGTAGTTGGATTTTTAAATGGGGAGTGTTTCTTAGTTTGGAGGGTTATGATAAAAGAACAATTGAAAGAAAAAAAAAAGAAAACCAAGGGAGAAAGAGAAAATTCAGAAAAGAGGAGTAATACTAAAAAATTCAAAAGAAATGAAAAAGGAAGAAGAAGAAAAAAAAAAAAAGAAAAGAAAAGAAAAGAAAAGGAGAGGACAAAATAATTTGGGGCAAGAAAATGAGGAACGAAGACGAAGAGAAATAAAAAGAAGAGGAGAGAACAAGAAATTAAAGAATATCTTGGAAAGGAGGGACCTAGCCTTTTATATGCCTTCAATTAAAAATCCAAAAAGTCCTTTCTATTTTGTTCTCTCTTAAAGTTTCAAAAGATAAGCACTGATGAAGCTAGATGTCCCTCTCTCCCTTTCTGTTCAAGTTGTCTTAAACATAATGACCTAAAATACCCCTAATTTAAATAAAATAATAAAATGACTAAACTACCCCTGAATTTTCTACTACTCCAAAAGACATTAACACCCTTATGAAACTAAAAGAAGCTAAAGGACCAAATAACCTTACTTTTCACTCTCCCAAAAGAAAATAAAAAAATGAAAATGTTAAAACACTAATGCGATGATGTCCTCATTAGTATCTCAACGGGATCAAGTGGGATTATCAATATTCTAACTTCAAAGCAAAAACTTTCAAAGCTACAAATGCATGGAATCTTAGGAGTTATCGTCTACTAGTTGAATACTAGTATGTTGCACGGAATCTTAGAAGTTATTGTCTAATAGAAAAGTTTATGAAATTAAAACTAAACAAATGAAATAAAAATAATATTATTGATGAGTGATATTACTATATTAATTTGTAGTTGTCATTATACAACTAGAATACATGGAGTAAATTGCCATTCTAATCATTATAATTAACAAATTTACTTATAATAAATGGATTATCATAATTAGATTATTAACATTTTATTAATATTTTTTATATTATTTGCTTATGTTATTAACTTTGCTGCAGAATGAATTATATGTCGTAATATATACTTTCCATGTCCATAGTATCGACAAAAAATCTGTGCCCATTATAAAGGAATAACATGTTAAAGATAATTATGATTTTTATCATTAATAATATATAACTAAAATTGTGTTATATATAAAAAATTCCGCCAAAAATAAACCTAAATAACCATCAATCATAATTTAATGGATGAAATTAAACAAAAGAAATAAATAGTAAAAACTTACTTATCGGTGAATTTACAACAATAAGACTTGAAAAAAGAATGATATGCCTGATCTTGTCCCCCAACAAATCACATTAACAAACAGTAGAATTATCATAACAAATCAAAGCAAAACCCCTCAATTTTTACTACAGTAATTCAAAGAGAGACCCTGAATTTACATTCTTAAAAACAAATATTAGTGTTTATCACATACTTTAAAATTCAAACTAAAATTTATTCATTACAAATATTAATTAAATTAACTAAATAATATTTTTTAACTAAAAACATATCCAATTCATTTTAATGTAGCAATCATATATAGAAAACCCATCAATACAATATGAAAAACAAATGAATTTGAACCTAAGTAAAATAATTTGAAAGACAACAACACAAAAAAATCCACACAAAAAAGAATTGAAGTAGACTAGGATACACACCAAGAATCATCAAAGTGGATGGACAGTTTTGCAAAGAGAGAAAGTAGAGAGTATGACTGAGAGAGTAGAGAGTAGAGACAGACGATGGGAGAGAGTACCCGTTGGTATAGGGGGTTTGGAAATCTTGGTATCACTCATCTTTTTAAATAGAGAGAGACATACCTTTTCAAATTGATAGGTATGAATGAGAAGGGATAGAGAGATGGTGTTGGAATTATGTCCTTTCAAAGTTTTAAATTTGAATATTTTGGATAGCTCTTAACTTCTGTGGGAATAAAAGAGAAACATGACTTTAGATCTTAGTGCACTAGGACCAAGAGTCGTGGAATCTTGAGTGAGTCACGAGGACATCTTAAATATAAGATTTTAAATGAAATATATATTCTCACAACTAAGTGGGATGACTTATACAATAGGACTTAATAAAACAATGGGGCACTCTAGATTATGCCTAGTTCAAATTAAGAATCTAAAATAATGGAATTTTGTGCTATGTAAAAAAGAGACTGAATTTTAACATCGTGGAACTTCTGATTCATAAATAATGAGAACTTTGGACATTATCATTCTCTAACCTGATATCATCCGTTAATGAAAGTAAAACCCAAAATCATGAAACCCAATATTTTAATGTTCCAAAACTTTGAGAGCGGGGATCTCGAATGATGGATGAAAATGGATTCGGATGCTGGATGGAACATGGTCACCTTTTGTTGGGAGCGAGTTCCCAATGTCGAAAAGACCGGGGGGGGGGGGTCTCTACAAGATCCCTTGCAGGAACCGTGGGATTTAGGTTCCGGAGCGGGATCGTCGCCCTACCCATACGGTTCCTTAACTATGGTTTAGTCACTCTGCACAAAATAGGCTCATTCTGGCATGCCTTATCACATGGATATTTATCACATGGATGTTCTTAAGACTGCAGATAATCTAAGATATAGGTGCTTCTTCAATATATAGATTTCAGTGAGAGGTTCTTCTCCGATATATAATCACTCTGCACAAAATAGGCTCATCTGCCCTTTAATTATTAAAGAAGGAAAAATGGATGGTCTCTTCTACTTTGAGCATCTTGAATATCTGCAGTAAGTTTGATTTTTTTTATTTTGGTAGTTGTGAATTAGTTTTTGCAGTTTCAATTCCTTTGTATTTTCTACTGTGAAATATGAGAGAAGCTCCTCTAAGCTTCTTCTTGATGACATTTTCCTCATGAAATTGTTGGCTTTTGTTTGTATGCCATTTCTTTTAATAATGCATGGAGGATATTGCTTGAAATTGTTACCAGGATTTTGCTTTTCATTATCAATGAAAAATGGAGTCTATATATTCTGTTTGATCCCTGGATCTTTGAGATGTTAGTCGAGCGGTTAATCTTATTTATATTGTGCTTGATTTACTCCTTCATTCAATTAGGAGCCAGTTCTATTCTTGAAGCCCACATCATCTTATCTTCAAAATGGGGGTGCCATTGAAGTCCCTCATCCTTTGGAGTCATTGGATCATGAAGTAGAGTTAGCAGTCATTGTTGGGCGAAATGCTCGTGATGTTCCCCAAGGAACTGCCATGGACTATGTTGGAGGTCTTTCAAAAAATTTTGTCCTTTAAATACTTTTAAGGGAGTATTTTAGTTAAAAAAAAAAATGGTTTGCATGGTAATAGGCGATTTACTTCTCTCTTTTTTGCCCCCCCCTCCCCCTTTTGAAGGACCAAGCAATGGTACTTTTGTTTTTTTCATAATCAAGCAAGCATCATGCCGGCGACCTCTCTATTGGTATCGGGGTGTGAGATCTAATATTGGTTGCTTCTTTGTATGTCACCTGGCTACATATACTAGTTCTAATTGTTATACTTATAATTGTAGAGCAGATTATTTTGTGATAAAAGTCTTGATGATTGCATTGAAACAAATCACGCCCACCCATGAACGTTGTTACTGAATTCTGGTTATAACTTGGGTAGTTTGTTTCTATTTCTCATCTATGTCATGCAAATGTGTGTTAAACAAACAGGTACATGATGACATTGATACCTCATATTATCTACCTTAGTAACATTGACCTTGGACCTAGAGCTGCTAATATTTATATTCTTGCTATCGTTACATTTACAAAGGAGAATCAGGTTTTACAACTTTGCATAGAGAATCATTCTTAGCAGATTGTTGGCAAATATAGCTATGGGTGATACATCTTTGTGCCCCTCACTCCTCCCTAACTCTCTAATTTTTCAGTCCATGTTTTTCCAGCTTCTTTTCTATTCCTTTATTTTCTTTTTATTAGATGTGTACATCTCTAATTCTTTTATTAGGGGATAGTTGATGTGTGCTTTATAATCAGTGAATTGGTTATTTATAAAAAATAATGAATGTAGCTATGGATGGTTTTGACTTCTAAGTACAGTAGACACCAATCTATGGGATGATTTAAAAGCTCAAGAAGCCCTTTGATTTAGGAGGGTGCTTAAGTTGTTGGAAGAACTTTTTAATTTTTCCCTATATTTCCCCTTATATTGGTCCTTTACTTAAAAACAAAGCCCTTTAAAAAAAAAGAGTTTTGTATTTTTTACTATAGTGGCCCTTTACTCCTTGCATATTTGATCTTCGATGCATGTCTTTATGTCCAGCTCTTCGTTTTGTATTGTATATAGTGTTTCCCTAGAACTTCTTGGTTTTGGGTTTTTTCAAAACTCTTGCTGGGTTTTCTACCTTTTTCTTTTTCCTCGTTTTAATGCTTTTTCTCTTTTTTCATAGAATCAGCCAGTTTTGCATATTGCCTACTCAAATTCGATTGACGTGATGAAGCAGTGCTTCATCAACTGATCTGGTGCTAATATCATTGGGTTCTCTTTTGTTCAAGATAAAGACCATCATTGAGTATTCTGGATGCTGGACCTACCCTACCTTCCATTTGCATATTAAATGATCTATTTACAAGATTGCTATTTGAAGGCCCAAGAAGTTGGTATATTGATTTGTGATGAATATCACTTATTTATTTATTTTTTTATGCTGCTAACTGATGAGTATCACTTATTAGTTATTACCTTTGACAAGGCTGCTTGCAATTCTCGCTAACAGTCTTTTGCAGTCAATAGAAACCATATCTCTGCTAGAATTGCCCAAACTTGTTTTCTACTAGTCCATCTGCAGTAGCTGAGGAGAGGCGACTCCTTGTCTACTTAATTTATCAACCAAGTCTTGAAAATATTTCTATAAAATCCACACTTAGGGCAAAGTTCGTAGCCTATTAAATATATAGTTTTGCATGGTTTCTCTTGTATGCCACAATGAGAACTTTGAGCCAAATTTCTGATCGCCAATGTGTCGGAATATTACTCAGGAAAGCAACAGTTCACGGTTTACCCCTTTTAGCTACTCCCAGTCAATCAGCCTGCGACATTGTCTGCTGCTCTTGTACCATCTTTGCAACAGGGACAATGCATTTCTTATACCAACTAAAACTAAGTTGATGGAAACATTTTATTATGATTTTGTTTAAGAGACCTTACCTTCTGTCATTTTAGTGGAGTCGCCAATGTAGATCAAGCTGATAGCGAACAAAAATGAAACTTTCAACTGAGCATAGAAGAAATAAGGTTTTCTACGCCTGAAATCAATTAATAAATTATATGCATCCAACCCCAAATAATTGGAAAAAGGCTCTGAGGATGATGATGATATGAAGGGTTACTTGCGTTAGAAGCAGCATAGAAGCATTAAATGAGCTGAAATTTCTCTAAAATATACTCATTGATATGTGAAGATGAATCTGACTTTGTAACTAAATCTAGAGTAATTATAACAATTGATTAGGTAAACGTTCAAAAAATAAATTGATTAGGTAAAATGCACTAAACTATGTGGCTATGTGCAATAGATATCTGGAATCTAGAATTCTTATATGAGGAAGCCAACAAAGATATGGCATGTAGGATTTGTTGGAATGAGGCCCTAGACAGTTAACTGATCCAAAATCTCTTTAAGCTGAGAATTAGAAGTGAGAGCTTCAGGAACAAGACAAATGAAAAAGTAACTAGGAAGTTAAAGTGCTAGAACATGACAGAAATTAAAGAAGCAATAACTTGAGGAACACGACAAACATTAAAGAAGCAAGCACATGTCCTAGAGCAACTAGAAGTTATTAAGCTCTTTGTGTTTTTTTTTTTAAATTGTTATCTTTATGCTCTTTGTGTTACAGTTGCTGGACATGTAAATTTCATGTGCTTTGCCATAACAACCTAACCCAAGATATATGTGAAGCTTCAATAAGTATAGAAAACACTCAAAGAATTTTTGGTAAGCGTAGAACGATGAAATCTTCCTGGAGTTGCAATATTATGTTGTCCTAAAGAAAGAAATGGGAGGTTCTTTGTCTCCCTCAACTAGAAACCTAATACCGTGAAGGTTTTAGGAAGACTATTAATGAAAGAAATAAAAATAGAGTTCCCAGGGCTTGTATTGGTTTTGTATATTTAGGGTCTGCATTTTTCTAGTTTGCGTGCCAAAATGATGGATTAAGGTTTTCGAAAATAAAGGATTTTGTTTAGTCATGGCTTTGATTCTATGTCATACTTGAGTGAGACAAGGAATAAGGACTTGAGTGAGACAAGGAATAAGGACTTGAATAACAGAAAGAATATTTCTTTATGGTAGGAACAACTAATCGAATATAACTCTCCAGTGTTTTAAAACCTTGATTAGAAAGTCGGATTGATCACTCGGGACCAATCCAAGTTGCCGATCTGGGCTGGATCGGGCTGATTCTTTGGAGTGAGAATCTGTTCTCCAAAAAAAAATGATATAACAAATTTTAAATTTGAAAAACACTTAAAATTGAAAAAATTAAGAAAATGAAATGGGTGGGAACTGGGCAATTCGGCCAATCTGAATCACCTGGTTCCCTTATAGAACGAGGTGATTCTATCAAATTCGTACCAATTCTTGGTTCCAACTAGGAATCATGTCGGACCCTACCGATTCCCAATCGGGATTATTGATTCCCAGACTAGATCACCAATTTTTAAAACACTCAAATACTATTACGACACATCAACAGTCTCTCATGCACTCCAATTGACTTGCATTTGCAGCTGGTAATAACACCTTGTTTATTCTATACTTTTTCTCAGTTGATGGTTTGGTAACTATATTTAGATGAGAAGGTGATATGGCCCCCTTTTTTGGTAGTCTTCCCCCCCCCCTCCTTCCCCAAATATGTGATCCGTTATTTCCATCTTTCTAGAAGTTTCTCGTCCTTTATGTGCTCACCTTTCTTCTCAGTTAGGAGATTTGGAACTTTTACACCCTTGGGTATGGCATAAAAGATTTCTCCAAATGAATATTGGGACAATTATTTCTGCAAGTTAAATGCTATTAATTTTTAGATAAATATGATAATTGTTTGGGTAAATATAATGTGTATAATTTTTAGTCATGGAATTTTTATACTTTATATTTAATGTATAAAAGATCACGAGCTTTATTCAACTGGAGGCCATTGTTCTCTTCACTGTCTGTAGTCATAGAAGGATCTTTGCATTTCAAGATGTCAATGGTGCTTTTGAATCCATGCTCTAGAGTTTACATTTCACGTAATAGCAGAAGTTTGGCAGTTAATGCCTACCGATTCGAATCATAGGTTATGCACTTGCCTTGGACATGACTGCAAGAGAAATCCAATCTTCTGCTAAGGTATACATCTGAGCTCTTGTATTTTAAATGTTGATTTTGTTACAAATTTTTTTAAAGAGGAAATATGTAAGTTAAGTTGCTACATTTAGCCTTTGTCTATGGAAGCTAGCAACTTTCTTCAATCTTGTTTTTTCTCAAAAAAAAAAGAAAAAAAAAAAAAAAAAAAAAACTTACAATCTTGTTGCATCATTTGAACTACACTCAAGGGATGTGCTCTAGATTTGCTACATTTCGCAGCAGACTTAGATGGTTTTGTGATCTCAACTGCTCAATCGACCTATGGAACATTGTTTTTTGTGATATTGTTTTCATAATCAATGGAGTCCTTCCCTTTTAATGGAGGACGTGGCTGGATCCCTGTGCCTTTATATTAGGAAGATAAGCTAATACAATAGTATACTTAGGTCTTCATGAAGGTACGTCAATTTTCTCTTTACTTACAAACAGGAGCACGTGTTTGTGTTCGTGTATGTGTGCTTGCACGAGTGAGTGCGTGCGTGCGTGTGCTTCTGAAAGGTGATAATACTCATATATTGCCTGTTATGTGCTCTCAACTTTTCACAGTTATTCATCTACAATAGTAATTGTTGTCCTCTTGTGTACAATACAATTCAATCAGTGGTCAGATCTTTCTGGAGGAAAATCGTTTCGTACCATTTGGTTGTTTACTATGCATTATTAGTTATCGTCCACAATCACTAGTTTCAAATTGGGTTAACCTATTCTAAGTTTCGATCTCTTCTTCACTTGAACTGAGAATTGTAGTAAGAATTACAAAGATTAGATTGTCTGGCAACATTGGTGCAGAGAGGCGGCACAGACTAGGTTTATGAACCTATATTTTCTCAATAATTACTTTCTGTTGTCTACTGTCAAGAGAGATTCTTAGCATGTCTACTGGTTTCTCACACATTTTTCTATCTCTAGGCTGCAGGGCTTCCTTGGACAGTCGCCAAAGGCCAAGACACCTTCACCCCCATTGGTTCAGTTGTAAGATCTTATATGCCGTCTACTTTGGCATTGGATTCTCCATTAAGCAGCATTGTACCTTGGTTTGAAATTTATGTGTTCTCAAGATGTAGTGAACTTGTAATATATTTACACACACAAACACATGAGAGTTTCCATAGAGAATATACTCTATTTTCTCATAGGTTGCATCGACAACCCTTAGCACCCTATTTTTACATAAATTCCTGTACACTTCCTTCTTTAAACTTTATTTTAAGACTCTCGCAAGATGGCATCATGGCTTCAAAAGCACAACATTTGAAAATTTATTTCCTATACTGAAGTAGGTGCCGAATCGCATTGAATCTTCTATTCCAAAGGAACAAATGTTTTGTGACTTGGGGCTAGGGCCCAAGTAGAACAAAGCCGGTCCATCTCCTTTTTTGCTCTAGGCCACAGGGGATACACGTTGTAGAACATCATTTTGTAAACGGGCAAACCTGTAAGCCCATTTTTTGTAACCTCCTTGTAAATCTATTGTAATCGGTCATATCTATAAGCCCATTTTTTGTACAGGTTCAGTTGACCTATTTTTTATCGAGTGACCCGTCTAGTGGGTTCTCTCGGATTAACCCAAAATTGTACTCCAACCCTTTATTTCTTTTTTAACATCGTTCATCTAATGATAATAAAGCCATCTAAAAAAATTGGAAATGAAAAAATCCTTCTAAAGCCTTGATATAAGCATCTTATCAAAATGGACAGCCTATGTTAATTGGGCTAAAAAAATAATTTCTAGGTTGTGTTTTCAAATTTTTCTTTTTTTTGTGATTGTTAATTAGAATGAAAAGAGTGTATATTTTAAATTTGGATTAAACAAATGACCCTAACATAGTTTTTTAAGATTGTTGCATTATATTACTATACAATCGTTTCATGATACATATGGGTGTGGTTTCTTTAATGTTGCAACTTTAAACAATCCAATTAGGGTGCACCTCCAAATTGTGTCAAAACATGTAATTTTGATGGAAAAAATTATTAGGATTATCTCAAAATCTATTTTCATATCTAATTATAAAATTTTAAACTCCAAAAATGATTAAAATCAAGTAGATCTATAAACATATGAAAATCTTGATAATGGACAGTCTAGATAATTTATTGCAAGATGTACTATTTTTGGGACTCATTTTTTATTTATTTATATTCATACATCTCGATGTCGAGATGACCAATTAGAGGTTTTTTCAACATTAAAATAACCTTGTCCGATGGATTTTTTAAGTGCATATGTAATTCTACATTTTAAGGTTGCAACCTTATATAAACTTTTTCACATATATATATATATATATGGAAAAGTCTTCCCAACGCTTATAGGCGAAAATGAACAGTGATTACGCCTACCCTCATCACCGTCCAAAGTTCATCACACGGTCACAATTGTCTGGTAGTGTTTCATTTTTCATTTTTTTCTACAAATCGGAATGGCCTGAAATTTGAAACGTGTGTACATCTTAGTGAGGCACACCTAATAAAAATATAAAAAAAATAATTTGCAAAACAAAATGCTCAAAATGTTGGTGGTATAAGACCAATAGGCTAGAAATGCAATCTTTTAAAAAAAAATTCCATTGTATAAAAACTTAAGGGTTTAAATGCATGAATATCTCAATACAAACCCATAATACTTATATTCCAGCTTACAAACATAGTTTATACACATTTGAATAATAAAATTCAACCCTAATAGGTCCCTTACAATCCCTTACTAAAAAGTACAATTAAACTGAATACAGTAGTAGTCAAATATTCATATTATACATCTCCACAACATATTGCATGACTTGCACTCGCAATTCTTTATTATATTAATATTATATGATAATTTCATTTTCATTTTTCATCCTCATAATATCTTATACACATCATACACTTGATCATAATAATTCAATAAGATTTCAATTCGTATAAGCAATAATGCATAGCATTAAAGCTCATACCGCAGGAAAAAAAAAAAAAACAATCTCAAGATTCATATAACATATTCAACTTAATCAATCATGAATCCATTTAATAGCTATAAATACATCAAATTAACATGCAGACATACATGGAGAAACCATGGTTCGAACCCCTTGTGCCTGGGCCACAAAAGGGCCTTTGAGGATATAATTTTGTCCCATTGCCTAAGGCACGGGTGATAATAATAACTCAAGGAGATCAATCCAATGGGAAGCAAATGATTACAATTATTTCACTTAATAGGAATCAAATCATGAGAGAGATATGTATCAAAATAGCCATTCGAAGTTTGAGAGAGATACTACACAAAATAAAGAAGTTATGGTGAAACTACACCATGTGGTCCATAAAGGACCACACGAACTTTTCAACATTAAAAAGGGAACTCAATCGACTATTTTTTATGCTCAAATATGATGAAATAAACATCTCATCAGTTGTATATTCTCAATAAAAAATTCTAGATAAATAAGATCAAGAAATCAAGTTGAAACTACTCAAGATCATAGAGTATGCAAGCTAATCTACACATACTATGTGTATGGACTACACTATTGCTTTGGGACTCTTCAAATATCAAGTTTTCATTATCAAAAGTGAAGAAAGCTACTGTAAATTAAGAATTACAATAAGCTTTGATAATAGAAATGAGGTAGGAATTAAAAATATGAGAAGAAAAATCAATACCTTAATGAAGAAATGGTATGGGCTTGATTACATAAATGATGGACTACTACATGGAAGGGTTTCAGATGAAAGCTCAAGGAAGAAGATAGTCTCATGGGTGACCACATTTTTGTCAAGGGCTCTCTCTATTTTTGAAGTGAATACTCAAGTTAGGGTAATAATTGAATCCGTAAACTGTAGCTGAAATACTGTTCTAAGGCTAAAAGCTTAATAAAATTTATCACCTAAGATAAGTCCGAGAGTTGAAACTCATAAGTTGTCATGACCCGTACTGCCAAAAAGGCCAGGAAGAGCTGCTGAAAAGGCACAGGGACTGTTTCCGACTGACTCGAAGTATTCATCCGTTATCTTAGAATGGAAATTTTTATTAGGACGTTATCCAATAGAACAATCTCATCATCTAATAGTACATTAAGAATAAAAAATAAGGAAGAAATAATTATTGATAATATTGAAAAACAAATGCAAAATTGGAACATCCCAAGAGTTCCTATAACAGATATATATAAAAAAGGTACTCTTGAGTTTAAAACAAGCTATGCTATTAAAACAGTAGAACAAAGTGTGTCTATTACTAGTGAACAAGAAAACTTCCAACTCCTACCTGAACGAATGGTTCAACATCATAAAAGTAGAGAATATAAATATTTACATATAAGACTCATACAGGTAGTAATAAAACCCTTGACTCGTCTTGGATTAAATAATTCTGTCTTGTCATGTTTAAGAGATAGTCGTCACAACAAGTTTTCAGATTCCTTATTAAGAATAGTAGAATCTAGTCTCTATAATGGTCCTATATATTTTAATTGTTTCCCAAACTTCTCGGTCTCTTTGGCCGACCCTAATCTTCTCAAAGTTTTAACATTAAATATAAAAACCCAAGGGTTTGATATGAACCCTGGATCACAGAATATAGCTCTAATATATAGGATATGTTATAAAGTTATGAATACCCTACGTCCTAATGCTCTGCAAAGGGACACTAAGGGCCAGACAATATTTTTTCAAACCAATATGGAAAAATCAAATACTGTGATTTCAAAATCGACTAGTTGGTCCCAAATAGTCCTTCCTGAAAATTGGTCCTTACATAATGAAAATCAACAGTATAGGACTCCAATTAATAAAGAACCAAATCAGATTATTGAATATCCGGATGGTGATATTGAAATCCAATTTAATTCAAATAGACGAACAAGCATAAATCTTATGGAAGACTCTGTTCGTACTCCATCTAGGATAAATGTTCCCTCTAGACATTCTACATCTTCTATACCACAAAGAATGGTGATAGATGGACTAACACGAACAAATAGTAATATCCATAAACCAACCTATAAAATATATGAATCAAATTGATCTGATAATAATAATGAACCTACACCATCAGATTTGGACTTTAATATACTTACCCTCCAAAAGGAAGAGAAATTCAAAATTGATATGGAAGCAATTAAAAATGATTATCTTTCTGAAGAAAATAAAAATATCCGTGATTGGTACCTAACCGAATTCCCACAAGAATTACTGGATGCCTTTCATAAAAGATTTAATAAATTTATAAAGAAAAATAAGAACAATATAGGCTTCTTTGATTGGCTCAAGTTTACATTAAGGGAAAAGGATATTACAATACCTGAGTATTGTCTCAATACTATGGAAGACCAATATCAAGTTTTTTATACAACAGAAGGAGAAGAAATATACAGTATACATCCTCCTGAAAAAAGTTTACAGTTAAAGAGGGCACTGATAGACAAACCTGAAACAAAAGCCTCTCCTTATAAGATAATTCCAAAAGAGACCGATAATCCTGCTCATAAAATAGATGGCATACCTCGCATCATAGAACAGAATAATTATGCTAATCTATGTCTTCAAACGATTGGAAAACAAACTTCTAGAATCGAAAGTATTATAATTAATAAACCTTCTGACATACAAAAAGACAAAAAAGTAGAAAAAGAGAAGGCTGTGTTATTCAAACCACCTCTAGAATTGAAAAAGTTTAACTTGGATGGAATAAAAAAGGAGGAGAATAAAGAATTAATTGATGAACTAGTAAGCAAACTAGCTAAGTTGAGTATAAAGAATGCAAAGGGTAAAGGAATAGCCATAGAATCACAGGCTATGGTCTTACAAGAAGAGCATATTACCCTTAAAAATATACAAGAAATTGAGGAAGCCTCTTAAGAAGAAGACTTTGATATAAATAGAATAGATTACGGTAAAAAATTCAGAGTAACTTCTCAAGCAAGGATGTATCATACAAGGCCTACCCCAGTAGACATCCAATTTGAGGAAGATTTAATATCAAATACCGTATCATATTCAGGCAAAACTATAGTAAATTGGAATATCGATGGATTATCAGATCATCAAATATTGGATACAATGAAACATATGACTATGTATGCACCAACATGCAAAATGAGTGGAAATCAGGATCAGGAAATAGCTAAAGCAAATGTATGTGGCTTTATTGGATGGTTGAGAGGATGGTGGAACTTTTATATGGATGAAACCTCCAAAAGAGAAATTTTAACAGCCACCAGACAATGGACAATAAAAAATGAAGTCGGACAAGATATACTCAATAGTGAAAGTGATGCTGTGAACACATTGATATATACAATTATATATATATATATATATATATATATATAGGCAG